TAAGAAGGAGTACTGCAAGCGCTAACATGGTGCTGCGGAAAAAACAAAAAAACCCATTAATCTAAACGAAGGCAATCATCGAGGCTTGACAAGACACAATCAGTGGTGGAAAAACAAACATTAATCTAATCGAAGGCAATCATCGAGGCTTGACAAGACACAATCAGTGGTGGATATCTTGAGTATCGATCTATTCAAGAAGGATGCGATGACGTGTCAACCAAGTCAGCGAGCCTGATCCCCACCCCTTTTGCCCTGAAAGTTTATTAGATGACAATTGAGACTCGGTGAAAATAAAGTGTGCACCCCTCCTTTTCTCAATAGTGTGCACCCCACCCCTCCTTCTCAAACAGCTGTATCCGCCCCTGATAAGCTCTGATAAGCATAGGACGGTGGGGTAGTCTAGTGGTTAAAGCGTTGGCTCGTCACGCCGAAGACCCGGGTTCGAATCCCCACATGGGTACAATGAGTGAAGCCCATTTCTGGTGTCCCCCGCCGTGATATTGCTGGAATATTGCTAAAAGCGGCGTAAAACTAAACTCACTCACTCTGATAAGCATGGATGGGTGAAGACCAGTTCTAACCCGGATCTTCATTTTGTCATTAGCGGAAAGGTTACAGTTGACTACAGATTACTGTTTACTTAAAATATTTGTTGACTTGTGTTTTATGTGTAACTGAATAGCCATTGACATACAAAATTAACAGAAACGTGTATTTTTGTGTATTCCGTAGAATCGTTATAAACTTAGAGAAGTATATAAAGGATCACATGAAAATTCAAGCGTTCCTTTAATATTTTCAAGTTTTCATCACCAGCTTTGAATAGCGCTGTGGGAGGAAATCTGAGAATAAATAAAGGAACACTGCCATGAAGTGGTGTTCCCTTATTTGTTTCCCTCAGTATAATTACGAGAGGATTTCAAACTCAGAATTGATCTTCGCATTTAAAACAATGTTAGTTTTATACAATGGATATAAAACGTTTTAAATCACCTTCATGTGTGATGATAACAAGATTTCCTTAATCACCACGTACTGGTGCAGTATTCGATATCACAGATAGATAAGATATTACCATTTCGCGAACATCACCACTATTTGATAGTGGTACATAAACATATGCTCAAGAACCAGTCGGAGTCATACAGTTGACCTACCTACCGCAGAAATATTATGAACATGGAAAGGTCGCTTTCGCCATTCCTTTACACTCTTTTAATGGTGGGGGCGGTGGGGTAGCGTAGTGGTTAAAGCGTTCGCTCGTCACGCCAAACACCCGGGTTCGATTCCCCACATGGGCACAATGTGCGAAGCCCATTCCTGGTGTCTCCCGCCGTGATATTGCTGGAATATTGCTAAAAAAGCGCCTAAAACTAACTCACTCTTTTAGTGGTTAGTGATCCGTGAAGGTCCGGGCTAGAATATTGATCTTCAGGAACCCATGCTTGTCGTAAGAGGCGACTAACGGGATCGGGTGGTCAGGCTCGCTGACTTGGTGGACACATGTTCCCAATTGCGCAGATCGATGCTCATGCTGGTGATCACTGGATTCTCTGGTCCAGACTCGATTATTTACAGACCGCAGCCATATGGCTGGAATATTGCTGAGTGCGGCGTAAAACTAAACTCACTCACTCATTTTAATGGTTAATAAAGATATTAGAGAAACCTTTATGCAATATTTCTCTGATAAATATAAAATTTAGCAACAATTACAAAAGAGAAAACAAAACAAAAAAGGCGACCTAATGTTCTTGCGATGGACTGATTGGGGTCGTAAAATGTTTAATACCCAAAATGAGTCCAAGAACACCTTATATGGTATGACTTGGCACTACATGGAGCACAAGAACGTCCTACCAAAACACTAAGTTCCTTGTAAGTGGAACGATGCGTCATCTCTTTCTATACCCAAGCACCAAGTATTGGTGTGTCAGAGAGTGAATATGGTTCTATGGCGCTTATAGCAATATTCCAGCAATGATGCGGCAGCATTGGAACCCGGGTCTGCGGCATAAACAGCGAACGCTTAAACCACTAAGCTACACTACCTCCCCACATGGGGTATAAGTAGTGACAAGTGCAAAAACCTGATTAATAATTCACATAAAAAATATAATAAATATTATATTATTATTATATTAATTTATAAAAGTAGGTACATTTGTGAATTTTATAAATTTTCGAATAGGATATTTATTATATATTTTATATGTGGAATATTAACCAAATGTTTACACTATGACAGCAGTACAGTTTATACAAGAATGGCAGCACCAACCACTAACACCAACAGGTAATAAATATATTGATGACTACTTGAGACGAGTTTCGATTGTAGCATCGTTTTGAGTGAGACAGTGAAGTATTAACGTTTCCTATCGTGTTTCTTCACGTTTTTAAAGAGATGTAATTGCCCTCAGATATGCTCACGAGTTTCAGACAATAACGTACCAAAACACTTTTGCCGAAACATACACTGAGCGAATCTGGAGGGATTTGACTTTCTATTTAGATAAACACTACTTTTCCCAAAAATATTTCAAACAATAATACTGCGTCTAAAAAGTTTTTACTCATTTTGGCGGTTATGTGGGACATTCCCCCCAAAAAGGTGTTGGGCAACAAGTACAGAAGACAACCACAGGATTTACTAAACCTGTCACAGAAAACGTTATTTCTGAAAAAAACCACAGACCGCGACCCAGAGTGATATTTAATTACATGTGCATCTTCATCCGTTGTCAAAACTAATTGCCAATATGTGCTCGAAAATCTTTTCACCGATGACAGGTGCCCGCTGTTGCTTGCGGACCAAGTCCTCACTCTCGCACTTTCCTAACTGTTGAACTGACAACAGAGGTATGTTCTACGTGTATAGCAAGACGCTGACTTACCTGTGTGTTTGCAAGACCTGAGAGTGCAGGTCCTGCACTGTTGTCTTGCTGCTTTATAGACTGGAGCAGCTGTCCCCTCACACACGCACGGACTTATGGGAGCGACTGGGAGACAACAATCTGATGTATACAATCTTATGCTTTCACCTACTTACCCAAAATTTAAAAGTGATTAATTTAGCTTACATGTTAGAAAACGACATCTAACCACCTGACTAATGGTGTCAAATGATAAGAGCTGCACTTAGCTGGATTAGGTGTTCATGATAGCATCCGGATAATAAACATCTGATGACAGATTTAATTTGTATCCAGAGCCAGCAACACTTCAGTGGGACTCTCTCCTAACCCTCTACCCGATCTCTGTTTCATCTGGTGGAGAGGAATCCCCATTTCCGTTAATCAAGAGGAATCCCTATTTCCGTTAGTCAAGAGGAAACCCTGTTTCCGTTGGTAAAGAGGAATCCCTATTTCCATTAGTCAAGCAGAATCTCTGTTTCTGTTGGTCAAGAGGAATCCCTATTTCTGTTAGTCAAGAGGAATCCCTATTTCCGTTAGTCAAGAGGGAACCCCGTTTTCATTGGTAAAGAGGAATCTCTGTTTCTGTTGGTAAAGAGGAATCTCTGTTTCTGTTGGTAAAGAGGAATCTCTGTTTCCTTTAATCAACAAGATCTTCAACATTCTACTTCAGTGGTTATAGTTATGATACTAGGCCTGTGCATAACGTTCTCCCACGCGTCTATAGGCACTTTGACGTCCATCACTATGGGAAATGTTAAACTTGGACTCATCTGTAAAAACAACATTTCTCCACCAAAACAAGGGTCTGCGGACATGATTTCGGCACCACATTCGGCGAGCTTGTCGATGACGTTGTGTCAGGATAGGCCGTATGGCGGGACGTCGTGGTCTGATCCCGTGATGACGTAAACGTTGACAACGTGTACGTCATCACGGGATCAGACCACGACAACTTGTCGAACTGTGTTGGGGTGGATACGGCGAAGTTCTGGGATGGTTCGGGCAGTCATCACTGCAGTCTGAAACCTGTGGCGAAGATGGGTCACCCTTATCCATCTATCCTGTCTTGGCGTTGTTACACGTGGACGTCCAGAACGTGGCCGATCGATGACGTCATTAGTGTTCTGGTAGCGTCTCACCAGTGCAGAAATGGTGTTCCGGTGGCAGTGGAAATGTGCAGCCACTTGTCGTTGAGACATTCCCTACGGACCATCCCAATGGCCTCATGACGTTGTGCAGACGTGAGCCTTGCCATGCTATGCGTTTCAACAGCCGTTTAATTTTTTGAACGATCGCAAGGGCAGGGGTTGAGCTTTCCAAAGTGACAGTATTGTGTGGCATTCATTTGCTCTGTTTCTCTTTCCCGGAATGCACGTGCAACAACGTATTGCACGTCTCAAGGACGAACCCACTGACGTCACGGAACGTGGCACGTGCATGCATGTTGGATACATGTCACTAATCTCTGAGTTTAAATCCTTATGTGTCTACGCACGTTTGATAAATTTAGATTTTAAATTTTTGTATGCACAGTTTCTTTATGTGCCTAGTATATATAAGAGTGTATTGTTATGGTTATACGCCACTGTACCCGGATGTTTATTAGAAGGAGCTGTATTAGGGGCACACTGTGTCGAGGGGCGGATAGGGTGGTCAAACTCGATAACCTGGTTAATTACATGTCATCGTAGCCCAAATAAGTGAGTGAGTGAGCAAGCATTGTTTTACGCCGTTTTTAGCAATATTCCAGCAATATCACGGTGGGGGACACCAGATATGGGCTTCACACTCATGCGGGGAATCGAAACCGGGTCTACGGTCTTTGGCGCGACAAGCGAACGCTTTAACCACTAGGCTACCCCACCGCGCCCAAAATAAGTGGATCGATGCCAACGTTGTCAACCGCTGTTTTGTTTGACCCCAATATTGAAGGGTTGCCGTCATATCGCTTGGATATTGTTGAGTCTAGCCTTACACAACAAATCCTTTTAGATGTAGTTTGCCAGTACACTAAAGCCAAGACGTAAATTGTGTCAAATTAGCAACAAAATGTAAGAGAAATGGAAAACTATGTAACCATCAGTTGGACGGACAGGTTTATTGTGTATATGATCGTCTTCCTAGCAGCCGACCGGAAGTGTTTACTCAGGACGATGATGCGTGACCTCACACTCGTTGTAGGCCTGGAACGGAAGTAACCATGGAAACCTACACGAGACACGTGATCCTGTTTTCCACAAAAACTAATAACCACACACAATTGGTTGACTGAACAGTCTCGACATTTCTCTTAAAGGAATAACACTCGTAAAAATTCACGAGATATATGTTTATTTGGTAGGTAACAACGTCACGTAATTAAAACGTAACCGGAGAGAGGTTCTGCTAGATTAGGAGTGAGTCTGCACACACTCATTGTAGGCCTGCAAAGGAAACGGAAGTGTAGCCATGTTATCCAACAGAATCTGATATCATAACTTACGCCTATGAATACACATAGTTGAACTTGACGACTAATATAGCCATTGTAACTGCCGGGCAAGAAAATGTTTAATGGCTTCTAAAATTGAGTTCAGAAAGTATTTTTGTATGGTTGTGTATTTGGTACAGGAATCATAGCTGTATTTTGGACCTTTTGACAATATCTCGAAATTTTTCATCGCTTGGTAACGTTTCGATAACGTTTGTACTCAAATCCAAGTTAAAAGTGTATACGTCCTTCAGCTGGATGATAGTCACTGACACCCATATTGGAGGTTTCTGTGTTAACTTTATATCTCAGCTGACAAGTCTGTAATTTCTCTTACCAAGGGTGTATAGTTCATAGTTCACGTTAAGGGTTACGGACATGCGTAAGGGGTACGAAGTTTCTCGATAACACACTGAATCTAACTGAGCTGAAAAACGTCAGTACTGTTTCAATGAATTGTTTCACTGTTCACGTTTTGGTCTTTCAATCATTATACATGTATGCCTGTTGCTATGAGGCTGAGCCTGACTGACTGACTGAGTATGGTCTTACGCCGATTTTAGCAATATTCCAGCAATATCACGGCGGGGGACACCAGAAATGGGCTTCACAAATTGTACCCACGTGGGGAATCGAACCCGGGCCTTCGGCGTGACGAGCGAACGCTTTAACCACTAGGTTACCCCACCGCCCCTGTTGCTATGAGGACGTTATGGGTATCTCCTACTTGGAATCTATAGGATATCTTTCTTGTGAATGAAAGGATCTCCCGTTGGTTGGTTGGGGATTTCTGTATTATAGTGACGAGGATCTCTTTGTTCGATCTCCCTGTGTTGTAGTTGAGAGGATCTCTGTTGGAGTTAAAACGATCTCAGTGTTGTAGTGCAGCATATCTCTATGTTGTAGTTAATGGGATCTCTATGCTGAGGAAAGGATTTCTATATTGGAGTTAAGGGGATCTCTATGTTGCAGTGCAGGTTATCTTAGTGATGGACTGGGGACCTCTGTGACTGTCAAGGATTTCTATAGTGGATCTCTATGTTGCAGTGCAGGTTATCTTAGTAATGGACTGGGGACCTCTGTGATTGTCAAGGATTTCTACTGGGGATCTCTATGTTGTAGTGCATGTTATCTTAGTGATGGACTGGGGAAATCTGTGACTGTCAAGGAATTCTAAGTGTCACAGCCCAGAGACTGACAGGGATGAAGGGCCGTTAAGATAATTGCAACTTACGTGTGTCAGGAAGATGGTAAACTCCACATCCGTGATCTTGCCATCATCTGTAGACAGAAAAGTTGATAAATTAACAAACACCTGAAGACTGATATCAAACACGTTTTACATTCTTGCATTTCAAGTACCAAGTCCGACTCCCAATAGTTCTGGCCCAGATGTCTCGAAACAAACTTAAGTTTTTACTCAAATTTCAAACTGAGTTTGAAACAGCTGAATTTTTAACTCGACTGCATTTTTTAAATAAAAAATCCCCAACAACTGCAGTAATCTATCCACCAAACTCAAATTGTCAACTAAGTTTGAGTTTATTATTGATTTCAGTTTTTTCTGGGAAATGCATTTTCCTGCGTTTTCTCAAATTTGAGTAAAAAGTCTGACTTAGGTCAAAACTCAGACTTAAGTTTGTTTCGTGAAATCGGGGCCTGGTACCTTAGGGTATCACCAAAGGTTGAACAAAATCACTTTCCTGACTTTACTACGTGTTCAGCCGTGTTTAACGGGACTGTAACCGTAGAAGGTCTCAGGAGTGAAAAATCCAAGGAGCTCTCAGGGATAAAAATCCAAGAAACTCTCAGTAGTAAAAAATCCTAGAAACTCTCAGCAGTCAAAAGTCCTAGAAACTCTCACGGGTCTAAAGTCCTAGAAACTCCCAGGAGCCAAAAGTCCTAGAAACTCCCAGGAGCCAAAAGTCCTAGAAGCTCTCAGGAGTCAAAAGTCCTAGAAACTCTCAGGAGCCAAAAGTCCTAGAAACTCTCAGGAGTCAAAAGTCCTAGAAACTCCCAGGAGTCCAGGAAAAGTCCTAGAAACTCCCAGGAGTCAAAAGTCCTAGAAACTCTCAGGAGTCCAAAGTCCTAGAAACTCTCCAGGAGTCAAAAGTCCTAGAAACTCTCAGGAGTCAAAGTCCTGGAAAGGAGTCAAAGGAAGCTCAGGAGAGTCAAAGTCCTAGGAAGCTCGCAGGAGTCAAAGTCCTGGAAACTAGGAGGAGTCAAAAGTCCTAGAAGCTCTCAGGAGTCCAAAGTCCTAGAAACTCTCAGGTGTCAAAAGTTCCAGAAACTCTCAGGAGTCAAAAATCCTAGAAACTCTCAGGAGTCCAAAGTCCTAGAAACTCTCAGGTGTCAAAAGTTCCAGAAACTCTCAGGAGTAAAAAATTCTAGAAACTCTCAGGAGTCAAAAAAAGTCTCAGGAAACTCGCAGGTGTCAAAAGTTCCAGAAACTCTCAGGAGTAAAAAATTCTAGAAACTCTCAGGAGTCAAAAGTCCTAGAAGCTGTCAGGAGACACCCATCCAACTCTTCTCTGCCACCGCCACCAACTTCTCTTGAGACACTCTCCTGAGATCCACGCCCCAGACTTGGTTAATAACACTCACGGTTGGTGTCGACCTTGCTCTTCAGCCCAGATACGTCAAAGAGTCCGAGGGTGCCGTCACCGGTGGTGTCGAATTTGGTGAAGATGAAGGCGGCGAAGTCAGTGCTGTCGTGGTATGTCTCGTGCCACTGCTTGACAAACTCCGCCCTCGAGATGGACAGACTACCTGTTACCATAAGAATGTTAGGAATTAATAATAACATTGACGATAAACCCCACACTACACAAGAACCCATAGAAGATGTGATTGGAACTACACACTACCCTTGAAGGTGTGAAGATGTGATTGTCCTACACTAGAACACGTGTCTGATCATATATATACATCCTACATACAGCTGGAATATTGCCGAGTGCAGCGTTAAACAATTACCAAGCCAAACCAAACCAAACCAAGCCAATCCTAAATAAATGACCTCACCGTCGTGATCGAATTTACTGACAAATTCGTTGAGGATCTCTGAGTCCGTGACGATACCGTCTCCGTTTTGGTCCATGTCGTTGAGGGCCCTGAGAATGACCACGTCGGCGGTATGCTGCATGGCGTTGGAGTGGATACACTTTTCCTGACTGAATCACAGGGACAGAGGAGACACGTTACTCTCTACCAGGCAGTCAGTAAACACTAAGACAGTGGAGACACGTTACTCTCTACCAGGCAGTCAGTAAACACTAAGACAGTGGAGACACGTTACTCTCTACCAGGCAGTCAGTAAATAGAGGGACAGAAGACAGAGGTTACTCTCCACTGGTAGTCAGTAAACACTAACACAGAGGGCAGAGGTTACTCTCCACTGGTAGTCAGTAAACAAAGGGACAGAGGACAGAGGTTACTCTCCACTGGTAGTCAGTAAACACTAACACAGGACAGAGGTTACTCTCCACTGGTAGTCAGTAAGCACTAACACAGAAGACAGAGGTTTCTCTCTACTGGTAGTCAGTAAACACTAACACAGAGGACAGAGGTTACTCTCTACTGGTAGTCAGTAAACACTAACACAGAGGACAGAGGTTACTCTCTACTGGTAGTCAGTAAACACTAACACAGAGGACAGAGGTTACTCTCTACTTGTAGTCAGTAAACACTAACACAGAAGACAGTAGTTAACACTCCACTGGTATTGTCAGTAAACACAGAAAATGAAACGTGGATACCAAAGTATGGAACCATCTAGGAGGTAATGAAAATTGATTTGGTGGGTACAGAAACCTAAATCTGGGGCTGGAATGGTGACAATGTCCAAACCATACCCCCAACTATCCATAATAAATTACCAGTCCCTAGTCCTTGACCCTGTAAGGAACACGACTCACCCATACGCCACTGCGGCAAGAAGGAGTACTGCAAGCGCTAACATGGTGCTGCGGAAAACAAAAAACCAAACATAAATCTAAACGAAGGCAATCATCGAGGCTTGACACAATCAGTGGATATCTTGAGCATCGATCTATTCAAGAAGGATGCGATGACGTGTCAACAAAGTCAGCGAGCCTGATCCCGGCTGCGGCTGGGTGAGGGGGTGCAGGGTGCGCACCTCAACTGCCCCCACCCCTTTTGCCCTGAAAGTTTATTAGATGACAATTGAGACTCGGTGAAAATAAAGTGTGCACCCCTCCTTTTCTCAATAGTGTGCACCCAACCCCACTCCTCAAACAGCTGTATCCGCCCCTGATAAGCTCTGATAAGCATAGGACGGTGGGGTAGTCTAGTGGTTAAAGCGTTGGCTCGTCACGCCGAAGACCCGGGTTCGAATCCCCACATGGGTACAATGAGTGAAGCCCATTTCTGGTGTCCCCCGCCGTGATATTGCTGGAATATTGCTAAAAGCGGCGTAAAACTAAACTCACTCACTCTGATAAGCATAGATGGTGAAGACCAGTTCTAACACGGATCTTCATGTTGTCATTAGCGTAAAGGTTACAGTTGATTACAGAAAACTGTTTACTTAAAATATTTGTTGACTTGTGTTTTAAGTGTAACTGAAAAGCCATTGACATACAAAATTAACAGAAACGTGTATTTTCGTGTATTCGGTAGAATCATTATATACTGAGGGAGGAAAATGAAGGATCACATGAAAATTCAAGCGTTCCTTTAATATTTTTCAGTTTCATCACCAGCTTTGAATAGTGCTGTGGTAGGAAATCTGAGAATAAATAAAGGAACACTGCCATGAAGTGGTGTTCCCTTATTTGTCTCCCTCAGTTTAATTAGGATTTATACTTAGAGAGGAGAGGATTTCAAACTCAGAATTGATCTTCGCATTTAAAACAATGTTAGTTTTATACAATGGATATAAAAGGATATAAATCACCTTCCTTAATCACCACGTACTGGTGAAGTATTCGATATCACAGATAGATAAGATATTACCTTTTCGCGAACATCACCGCTATTTGATAGCGGTACTTAAAACATATGCTCAGGAACCAGTCGGAGTCATACAGTTGACCTTCATTTTCGTCGCTCTCGCCATTCCTTTACACTCTTTTAATGGTGGGGTAGCGTAGTGGTTAAAGCATTCGCTCGTAACGCCAAACACCCGGGTTCGATTCCCCACATGGGCACAATGTGTGAAGCCCATTCCTGGTGTCTCCCGACGTGATATTGCTGGAATATTCATAAAAGCGCCTAAAACTAACTCAGTCTTTTAGTAGTTAATGATCCGTGAAGGTCCGGGGCTAGAATATTGATGTTCAGTAACCCATGCTTGTCGTAAGAGACGACTAACGGGATCGGGTGGTCAGGCTCGCTGACTTGGTTGACACATGTCATCGGTTCCCAATTGCGCAGATCGATGCTCTTCCTGCTGATCACTGGATTCTCTGGTCCAGACTCGATTATTTACAGACTGCAGCCATATAGCTGGAATATTACTGAGTGCGGCGTAAAACTAAACTCACTCACTCACTCAATTTAATGGTTAATAAAGATATTAGAGAAACCTTTTTGCAATATTTCTCTGATAAATATAAAATTTAACAACAGTAACAAAAGAGAAAACAAAACAAAAAGGCGACCTAATGTTCTTGCGATGGACTGATTGGGGTCGTAAAATGTTTAATACCCAAAATGAGTCCAAGAACACCTTATATGGTATGACTTGGCACTACATGGAGCACAAGAACGTCCTACCAAAACACTAAGTTTCCTTGTAAGTGGAACGATGCGTCATCTCTTTCTGTACCCAAGCACCAAGTATTGGTGTGTCAGAGAGTGAATATGGTTCTATGGCGCTTATAGCAATATTCCAGCAATGATGCGGCAGCATTGGAACCCGGGTCTGCGGCATAAACAGCGAACGCTTAAACCACTAAGCTACACTACCTCCCCACAGTATAAGTAGTGACAAGTGCAAAAACCTGATTAATAATTCACATAAAAAATATAATAAATATTATATTCGAAATTGATAAAAGTAGGTACATTTGTGAATTTTATAAATTTTCGAATAGGATATTTATTATATTTTTATATGTGGAATATTAATCAAATGTTTACACTATGACAGCAGTACAGGTTATATTAATACAAGAATGGCAGCACCAACCACTAACACCTTGTAGTTTACATAACCAACAGGTAATAAATATATCGATGACTACTTGAGACAATTTTCGATTGTAGCATCGTTTTGAGTGAGACAGTGCCCTCAGATATGCTCACGAGTTTCAGACAATAACGTACCAAAAACACTTTTGCCGAAACATACACTGAGCGAATCTGGAGGGATTTGACTTTCTATTTAGATAAACACTACTTTTCCCAAAAATATTTCAAACAATATTACTGCGTCTAAAAAGTTTTTACTCATTTTGGCGGTTATGTAGGACATTCCCCCCAAAAAGGTGTTGGGCAACAAGTACAGAAGACAACCACAGGATTTACTAAACCTGTCACAGAAAACGTTATTTCTGAAAAAAAACCACAGACCGCGACCCAGAGTGATATTTAATTACATGTGCATCTTCATCCGTTGTCAAAACTAATTGCCAATATGTGCTCGAAAATCTTTTCACCGATGACAGGTGCCCGCTGTTGCTTGCGGACCAAGTCCTCACTCTCGCACTTTCCTAACTGTTGAACTGACAACAGAGGTATGTTCTACGTGTATAGCAAGACGCTGACTTACCTGTGTGTTTGCAAGACCTGAGAGTGCAGGTCCTGCACTGTTGTCTTGCTGCTTTATAGACTGGAGCAGCTGTCCCCTCACACACGCACGGACTTATGGGAGCGACTGGGAGACAACAATCTGATGTATACAATCTTATGCTTTCACCTACTTACCCAAAATTTAAAAGTGATTACTTTAGCTTACATGTTAGAAAACGACATCTAACCACCTGACTAATGGTGTCAAATGATAAGAGCTGCACTTAGCTGGATTAGGTGTTCATGATAGCATCCGGATACTAATCATCTGATGACAGATTTAATTTGTATCCAGAGCCAGCAACACTTCAGTGGGACTCCTCTGTATCCGCTAACCTTGCACCCGATCTCTTTTTCCTCTGGTGGAGAGGAATCCCTGTTTCCTCTGGTGGAGAGGAATCCCTGTTTCCTCTGGTGGAGAGGAATCCCTGTTTCCTCTGGTGGAGAGGAATCCCTGTTTCCGTTGGTCCAGAGAATCCAGTTTCCGTTAATCAAGGGGAATCCCAGTTTCCGTAAGTCAAGAGGAAACCCTATTTCAGTTAGTCAAGAGGAAACCCTATTTCCGTTAGTCAAGAGGAAACCCTATTTCCGTTAGTCAAGAGGAAACCCTATTTCCGTTAGTCAAGAGGAAACCCTATTTCCGTTAGTCAAGAGGAATCCCTATTTCCTTTAGTCAAGAGGAAACCCTATTTCCGTTAGTCAAGAGGAAACCCTATTTCACTTAGTCAAGAGGAATCCCTATTTCAGTTAGTCAAGAGGAAACCCTATTTCAGTTAGTCAAGAGGAAACCCTATTTCAGTTAGTCAAGAGGAAACCCTATTTCCGTTCGTCAAGAGGAATCCCAGTTTCCGTTCGTCAAGAGGAAACCCTATTTCCGTTAGTCAAGAGGAAACCCTATTTCCGTTAGTCAAGAGGAATCCCTATTTCCGTTAGTCAAGAGGAAACCCTATTTCCGTTAGTCAAGAGGAATCCCTATTTCCGTTAGTCAAGAGGAAACCCTATTTCCGTTAGTCAAGAGGAATCCCTATTTCCGTTAGTCAAGAGGAAACCCTATTTCCGTTAGTCAAGAGGAATCCCTATTTCCGTTAGTCAAGAGGAAACCCTATTTCCGTTAGTCAAGAGGAAACCCTATTTCCGTTAGTCAAGAGGAAACCCTATTTCCGTTAGTCAAGAGGAAACCCTATTTCCGTTAGTCAAGAGGAATCCCTGTTTCTGTTAGTCAAGAGGAATCCCAGTTTCTGTTAGTCAAGAGGAAACCCTATTTCCGTTAGTCAAGAGGAATCCCTATTTCCGTTAGTCAAGAGGAAACCCTATTTCCGTTAGTCAAGAGGAATCCCTATTTCCGTTAGTCAAGAGGAAACCCTATTTCCGTTAGTCAAGAGGAATCTCTATTTCAGTTAGTCAAGAGGAAACCCTATTTCCGTTCGTCAAGACGAATCCCTATTTCCGTTAGTCAAGAGGAAACCCTATTTCCGTTAGTCAAGAGGAAACCCTATTTCCGTTAGACAAGAGGAATCCCTATTTCTGTTAGTCAAGAGGAAACCCTATTTCCGTTAGTCAAGAGGAATCCCTATTTCCGTTAGTCAAGAGGAATCCCTATTTCCGTTAGTCAAGAGGAAACCCTATTTCCTTTAGTCAAGAGGAAACCCTATTTCCGTTAGTCAAGAGGAATCCCTATTTCTGTTAGTCAAGAGGAAACCCTATTTCCGTTAGTCAAGAGGAATCCTATTTCGTTAGTCAAGAGGAATCCCTATTTCTGTTGGTCAAGAGGAATCCCTATTTCCGTTAGTCAAGAGGAAACCCTATTTCCTTTAGTCAAGAGGAAACCCTATTTCCGTTAGTCAAGAGGAATCCCTATTTCTGTTAGTCAAGAGGAAACCCTATTTCCGTTAGTCAAGAGGAAACCCTATTTCCGTTAGTCAAGAGGAATCCCTATTTCTGTTGGTCAAGACGAATCCCTGTTTCTGTTGGTCAAGACGAATCCCTATTTCCGTTAGTCAAGAGGAATTCCCATTTCCGTTAGTCAAGAGGAAATCCTGTTTCCGTAGGTAAAGAGGAAACCCTATTTCCGTTAGTCAAGGGGAAACCCTGTTTCCGTAGGTAAAAAGAAATCCCTATTTCAGTTAGTCAAGAGGAAACACTGTTTCCGTTAGTCAAGAGGAATCCCTATTTCCGTTAGTCAAGAGGAAACCCTGTTTCTGTTGGTCAAGACGAATCCCTATTTCCGTTAGTCAAGAGGAAACCCTATTTCAGTTAGTCAAGAGGAATCCCTATTTCTGTTAATCAAGAGGAAACCCTGTTTCTGTTGGTCAAGACGAATCCCTATTTCCGTTAGTCATGAGGAAACCCTATTTCAGTTAGTCAAGAGGAACCCCTGTTTCCGTTAGTCAAGAGGAATCCCTATTTCTGTTAGTCAAGAGGAAACCCTGTTTCTGTTGGTCAAGAGGAATCCCTATTTCCGTTAGTCAAGAGGAAACCCTGTTTCCGTTAGTCAAGAGGAAACCCTGTTTCTGTTGGTCAAGAGTTACCCTGTTTCTGTTGGTCAAGACGAATCCCTATTTCAGTTAGTCAAGAGGAAACCCTATTTCCGTTAGTCAAGAGGAAACCCTGTTTCTGTTGGTCAAGACGAATCCCTATTTCCGTTAGTCAAGAGGAATCCCTATTTCCGTTAGTCAAGAGGAATCCCTATTTCTGTTAGTCAAGAGGAAACCCTGTTTCCGTAGGTAAAGAGGAATCCCTATTTCAGTTAGTCAAGAGGAAACCCTGTTTCCGTTAGTCAAGAGGAATCCCTATTTCTGTTAGTCAAGAGGAAACCCTGTTTCTGTTGGTCAAGACGAATCCCTATTTCAGTTAGTCAAGAGGAAACCCTATTTCAGTTAGTCAAGAGGAAACCCTATTTCCGTTAGTCAAGAGGAATCTCTGTTTCCTTTAATCAACAGGATTCTCAACATTCTACTTCAGTGGTTATAGTTATGATCAATAGGTTGCTTAGCAACTTTCATAGCTCTACATCAGCTGTCGTGTGAAAGACACTACACTTTGTCTTAGAATACCATCTGGACGCAAACCAACATTGCTAGCTCTTCATCAGTGGTCACGTGCAATACCCTACACGCCCAAAGATACCATCTGGACGCAAACCAACATTGCTAGCTCTTCATCAGCGGTCACGTGCAAGACCCTACACGCCCAAAGATACCATCCGGACCCAAACCAACACTGCTAGTTCTTCATCAGTGGTCACGTGCAAGACCCTACACGCCCAAAGATACCATCTGGACGCAAACCAACATTGCTAGCTCTTCATCAGTGGTCACGTGCAAGACCCTGCACGCCCAAAGATACCATCTGGACGCAAACCAGCATTGCTAGCTCTTCATCAGTGGTCACGTGCAATACCCTACACGCCCAAAGATACCATCTGGACGCAAACCAACATTGCTAGCTCTTCATCAGCGGTCACGTGCAAGACCCTACACGCCCAAAGATACCATCCGGACCCAAACCAACACTGCTAGTTCTTCATCAGTGGTCACGTGCAAGACCCTACACGCCCAAAGATACCATCTGGACGCAAACCAACATTGCTAGCTCTTCATCAGTGGTCACGTGCAAGACCCTGCACGCCCAAAGATACCATCTGGACGCAAACCAGCATTGCTAGCTCTTCATCAGCGGTCACGTGTCACGAAGTCCGTTCTGTTCCCCAAATCTGATTCAGATGCGATTGGATTTGTAGTGAGTGAAGCCGAAGACCCGGGTTCAATTCCCCACATGAATACAATGTGTGAAGCCCATTTCTGGTGTCCCCCGCCGTGATATTGCTGGAATATTGCTAAAAGTGGCGTAAAACAGTACTCACTCACTATGACAGACTGTTTTAATCGGACTCCAATCGTCAGCACTGAAACTTCCGCACTGAGGTCACCGTGACCCGAGTATCACTGCACGTATCACACATGTATACCTCAGATCGTATTCCTCCTCTACAACAGAAACATATTTGACTTAAAACAACTCCCATTTGATAACTATAATTTTTCAAAGATTTCATTTTCTTTGGACATATCACCGTCCAGCTGAATATTGCAAAATTTAGAACCCAAAATACGAAAATAATAGAGCAATGCGGAGTTTGCCTATGCTCGCCGTATCGCACTGCTGTATTGCTATTGTTACATAGATAAAATGGGTATGTAATAACTGTTTTCAAAGAAGACTAGCGTGAGAAACGAATTCGCAATCCCAATACCTGTGTGTGAAATTTGTTTTGTTTTCAAAGGCAACGTAGATATCCATCAGCTGTTTTGTAAAAGTCCAAATAAAATTATAGTCTCTATAAACTCATGCCAATAATGGTTGTCACCCCCACCCCCACCCAACCCCCACACCCACCCCTCTCCAATGAAGGGGGTGACAACCATTATTGGCATGAGTATAATATAAGATTGTAAAAGTATTCTTTGAGTGCAAAAAAAAGAAACGCACAGGACAAATATAAGGAAATGAACATAAACTCACGTGTATAAGAAACGTCACCCAAATTTAAATACTATTATTGTTGCTGGATAAGGCCAAAAACATGAAAAACAGTTCGGAACACATTGCCCAAACACACAAATGCATGACACCCCAAGGAAATGCACGTGTTGCATGTCAGAAGCGGGGAAAATAATTTTATTCAGTGAAAGTTCCTGCACCCGGATGTAGCGATACTGCGCCGCATTCTGCCGGCGATATCTCTCCCAGAGCCGTGAAATGGTGCTTTGGTGAACATTCATGCGTCGGGCAACTGCACGTTGAGACTGGCCAGCTTCAAACAAACCAATGGCGATATGACGGTTGGCTTCACTTAGACGTGGCATTTTGCGTTCGTAAGCAATATTCCAAATCCAGTGAATAATCGACAGACAGCGATCAACCTTTTATACCCATCATTGAGACTATCTGATCCCCAACTTTCACGTGCATTGCATGTAAATTGTGTATTCTGTGACACTACACGCCGAAATTTAAATTCATGCTGTTAAATACGGGTATTTTACGGATGGTGCGTTTTGTTGTGATGTTTCAAAACATAAACACCATAGGACTCATAAACAGAGGAAAACCTTTTGTAAAATGAATCACGTTTTAATTCATTGCTACATGAAATTGCTATTTTTTGGGAGAGTATATTTCCATTATTGTTCATTGTGATGATTATGTTTGTAGAAAAGGTCCTTATCTATTATGACTACAATTTATATATTTTTCTGTTATCATTATTCTTCATAATGAAGTTTAATTAAGAGTTATATTGCCTGGGCTTAGACAGTACCAACAGCCTGTCCATCAATTTACGCTGTCAAACAGAACTTTTCACAGATGAAGGTCATTGGTTCATCTGTGCTTCAACCAATACATGGCAACATATCGAACAAGGGGCCACACACTACCTTCCCTGTTGATAATGCAGCACTCCCTAGACGCAAACATAAAAGTTAAATGTCATATTGTGAGGGAATTTCTAGAAAATAGTGTTAATGATATGTCATCGAGAAATCATTTGTCGCACTACTCAAGTACAGACAAATTAATAAAGTCAAGATTCCGTCTCCCATACCACTGGAGCATATGGTCCATGCTGTCACGTCATCATCAGTGCATAGCCTTGATCATCGCGTCAGCAGGTGGGCAGTGTCCAACAAGCTCCGGTTTCTCGAAACAAACTTAATTTTTTTTCTCAAATTACAAACTAAGTCAAACGTGGCTGTTTTGAGTTGCACCTGAAGAGCGCGCCCTTGCTGTTCCACCAGCCGTGTGTCCCCGACCGCGTCTTACCAAAAGACGTTAAAATATGGTACTTGTTGGTCCCTGCCTGGCGCTCGGCATGAATGGATACAACAAGGACTGGTCGGCTCGGAGTCAGTATAATGTGTCTGAGTGGGGTATTCATGCTTCACTGCGGCATGGTATCTCAGTGAGCTAGCACTTTAAAACCAGCTTCAGTCTGGGCTAGTACAAGCAGCCGCACATACACATACACACGCATGCACGTCGTCATATGAGCGAAATATTCTCAAGCACGACGTTGAACCCAATTTCACCTCACCTCATCTCACCCCCTCGGTGTGAAGTGTGAAAATAAAACAATAAAACATGATAGTTTCTAAAAAAACATTTTCCGTGAACCATCATAAAACGTCAGTTCCAGATCCTGTTGGGTACAGAGGTTTCCAGGACCATGTGTCTTATTTAGGTTTTGTGCACTTATCTCTATTTCGAGATATTTAATCATTCTTTGTTCTCATTTGAACCCAAACGGACTGTAATGGGAGTAAATTCTTTGGTCCTGGAATAAACACCTCTGAAGAAGTAAGTAAAATATAACTGCTTTTCATTCGAGGATAACTTGTTTGTAAAATGGTTGATACATTGTCATAAGATGATAAAAGTGTCGAATTAATTTTACCAGGTTGGGTTTTAGGGATTACTATTTTTGTTTGTTATTTCAGATCTGAGAGGCTGGATTAGTAGATACTGGCGTCGTCTCTTAGTGAGTGAGTGAGTGAATGTATGAGTGAGTTTAGTTTTACAACGCTTTTGGGAATATTCCAGCAGCATCACTGCGGGGGACACCAGAAATTGGCTCACACATTGTACCCACGTGGGGCATCGAACTCGGGTCTTCGGCATGACGAGCAAACGCTTTAACCACTAGGCTACTTCACCGCCCCTAGTATCTTAATACAGCGTGGTATGTCTGTTGGCGTGGTATGTCTGTTGGACAAAGAACAGCGAGGTATGTCTGTTGGACAAAGAACAACGTGGTATGTCTGTTGGACAAAGAACAGCGTGGTATGTCTGTTGGACAAAGAACAGCGAGGTATGTCTGTTGGACAAAGAACAGCGTGGTATGTCTGTTGGACAAAGAACAGCGTGGTATGTCTGTTGGACAAAGAACAGCGTGGTATGTCTGTTGGACAAAGAACAACGTGGTATGTCTGTTGACAAAGAACAACAGCTTGGTATGTCTGTTGGACAAAGAACAGCTTGGTATGTCTGTTGGACAAAGAACAGCGTGGTATGTCTGTTGGACAAAGAACAGCGTGGTATGTCTGTTGGACAAAGAACAGCGTGGTATGTCTGTTGGACAAAGAACAGCGTGGTTTGTCTGTTGGACAAAGAAACGTGGTATGTCTGTTGGACAAAGAACAGCTTGGTATGTCTGTTGGACAAAGAACAGCGTGGTATGTCTGTTGGACAAAGAACAGTGTGGTATGTCTGTTGGACAAAGAACAGCGAGGTATGTCTGTTGGACAAAGAACAGCGAGGTATGTCTGTTGGACAAAGAACAGCGTGGTATGTCTGTTGGACAAAGGACAGCGTGGTATGTCTGTTGGACAAAGAGCAACGTGGTGTGGTATGTCTGTTGGACAAAGAACAACGTCGTATGTCTGTTGGACAAAGAACAACATTTTACCGAAAATACAACCTGTCCCTGCGCCCTTCTAAATTTAGCGACATGAGTTATCTGAACACAACACACACTGTTAGACCTCAGACTGTGAACAAGCTGACCAACATGAATAGTTCGTCTAAGAAGTAGCCCACTGATTGTGTGAGTGAGGTCACAGTGTTTGAAGGGTGTTAGTGAGCCAAGATCTACATCTCAACTGATAGTGACATTTGTGTTATTATGTTACTTAAAACTACTAAGTCAATATCATTACTGTGATGTCTACTGTCTCCAAAAGTGTGAAATAACAAGTGAGTGAGCAAGCGAGTTGTTTTTTACGCCGCTTTTAGCAATATTCCATCGATATCACGGCGGGAGACACCAGAAATGGGCTTCACGCATTGTACCATGTGAGGAATCGAACCCGGGTCTTCAGCGTGACGAGCCAACGCTTTAACCACTAGGCTACCCCACCCTCCCCCACCGGCAGATGTCCTGATGGACGGTAGGAGTAAGATTTGAAATTACAAAGTTGTCGTTTTAGGAATAGTAGTGCATAACACTGATTCCATGTTGCATTAAAGTGAAACTAAATCATTTTCCTATTACAGTTGACTAGCCAGTGCGTGTGTTTGTGGCCGGGGGTACAAGATGCGCTCCCCTTTTTGCGACAATCTGGAACCATCACTATATTATATTCAGATGCTCATGACATAGTATTCTCGGAATCGGACAATCAATTTTGCTCTTTGTGCCATAGTGTGAGACTTCACACACACACACACACACACACACACACACACACACACACACACACACACACACACACACACACACACACACACACACACACACACACACACACACACACACACACACACACACTCTTTTATATATACAGACTGTCTGTGTGTGTGTATGTATATATATCCAGTATATAAAATAGTGTACTTTGTCGCACACAATCCACCCGGTTAGAACTGGACTTCAGTAGCCCATGCTTGTCGCAAGAGGCGACTAACGGGATCGTGTGGTTAGACAGGTGACGTGGTTGACACATGTCGCCGTATCTCAAGTGCGTTGATCGGTACGTCAGATGTCAGTCACTGGATTGTCTGGCCCAGATTCGATTATTTACAGACTGCCGACATATAGTTTGCATATTGCTGCATGTTCAACAACAACCAAAACATCTGAAACGTGTATATTGTTACACAAACAAATTAGTGAGATTGAATGAATATAAAAGAATGAATAATGAATCAATGAATATCACACGAACAAATGAATGAATGCTACAGAATATTGTTTATAAGTGACTTTATTTGTCAATTCTAACTGCCAGGAACGCAGTTCTTGTAGATCTGAAACGAGAAACAAATATAAGGTAGTAAATTCAAATTTTGCATGTATCTTGAAATTGAACATGGCATCTTGAAATTTCAACTTCTATGTCTATAAATAATCGTGCCAGTGAGTAATATTATCAGCGATGGCATAGACTAATTGTCAACAATCTATGACGTCGTCATGACGTTGTTGTCAGAAAGCGTGTTGTTACTCACGTCGATCATGAATGTTTCGAACTCGGCCTCAGACAATTTACCGTCACCTGAAATATAAGGGACGCGTGAGTGAAGTACTGGGTGAGTGAGTGAGTGGAGGGAGTGTTTGTTAATGGCACAGTCACTAATGTTCCAACCATATGAAGACGTTATCAATGTCAAGGTTGTTTACAAGTATGCAATCTCTGACACACCACCGCTATTCACGGCAGACTTTCAGGTCACGAGATTAGACAGACATCTTTAAAAGGAGCAGTGTTTATAAGATATATAATACATGTCTCATTTTACGCTAAAATCTTGTGGACACTGGTCCCAGTCGTCTATTCGCTGGCCAGAGTTGCGTTCCTTCGTACGCAAGACACCTGCGATTTTTAGGTTCGAATCCCGGTCCGTGCCGATTATGTATAATACATGTCTCATTTTACGCTAAACTCTTGTGGACACTGGTCCCAGTCGTCCATTCGCTGACCAGAGTTGCGTCCCTTGGTATGCAAGACACCTGCGATTTTTAGGTTCGAATCCCTGTCCGTGTCGATTATGTGTCTGAATTTGTCACCACCCGTCCTCATGCCATATATAGAAATAGCTTTCTTAGAGGCATAGAACGATTAACTCAAATAAACGATCAAAACGATCTTATGTTTTCCTATAAATAAACTTTTTCATCACTCAGCATATTGTCCGACGTACCCTTTTCCCAAAGCGGGGAATCGAACCCGTATCTTCGGCCTGACGAGCGAACGCTTTAACCACCGGGCTACCCAACCACCCCACGATACGACAGAGACAGACCTTGCGGTCAAGCATGGCGAATATAGAGATTATCAGTGAATGGGACCTTGTACTGATGCATGGCGAATATAGAGATTATCATCGAATGGGATCTTGTACTGATGCATGGTGAATATAGAGATTATCAGTGAATGGGACCTTGTACTGATGCATGGCGAATATAGAGATTATCAGTGAATGGGACCTTGTACTGATGCATGGCGAATATAGAGATTATCAGTGAATGGGACCTTGTACTGATGCATGGCGTATATAGAGATTATCAGTGAATAGGACCTTGTACTGATGCATGGCGAATATAGAGATTATCAGTGAATGGGACCTTGTACTGATGCATGGCGAATATAGAGATTATCAGTGAATGGGACCTTGTTCTGATGCATGGCGAATATAGAGATTATCAGTGAATGGGACCTTGTACTGATGCATAGCGAATATAGAGATTATCAGTGAATGGGACCTTGTACTGATGCATGGCGAATATAGAGATTATCAGTGAATGGGACCTTGTACTGATGCATGGTGAATATAGAGATTATCAGTGAATGGGACCTTGTACTGATGCATGGCGAATATAGAGATTATCAGTGAATGGGACCTTGTACAGATGCATGGCGAATATAGAGATTATCAGTGAATGGGACTTTGTACTGATGCATAGCGAATATATCAACATTACCCCTGACTACCCCTAGTGACGAGGGGCGGTGGGGTAGCCTAGTGTTTAAAGCGTTCGCTCGTCATGCCGAAGACCCGGGTTCGATTCCCACATGAGTACACTGTGTGAAGCCCACTTCTGGTGTCCCCCACCGTGATATTGCTGGAATATTGCTAAAAGCGGCGTAAAACCAAACTCACTAACTCGTTGTGATGATATACGAATATATTCTACACCTAGGTTATAAGTTATAGGTCGTGGCCGCACCGGTCTCTAGGGTCAGTTTTAACCCGGCATCCGCTTGGGAATAGTACAACTTAACCTGTTACCTAGTGTGCAGTACACAACCCTGTGCTCTACCCACTCATCCGACGGTAGTGACCAGATGGTGGACACATGAACACGTACTGAGACCTAGTTGCGGGTACAGCAACGTGCAGTATCTTTGGACAAAATACTGTGACTATGTGTCCCAGTTCACCCAGCTGCTAATTGGTACCTTGTAAGGATGAGGTTGTGTGATAACTCGCGGCGCCTGACAGCGTGCATGAGTTGAATACTCCCCAGGGAGTTGAGTTGGTTAAAAGAATGCCGGGTGAGGTGAGGTGAAATTGGGTTTTACGTCGTGCTTGAGAATATTTGGCTCATATGACGACGTGCATGCGTGTGTATGTGTATGTGCAGCTGCTTGTACTAGCCCAGATTGAAGCTGGTTTTATAGTGCTAGCCCACTGAGATACCATGCCGCAGTGAAGCATGAATACCCCACTCAGACACATTATACTGACTCCGAGCCAACCAGTCCTTGTTGTACCCATTAATGCCGAGCGCCAGGCAGGGACCAACAAGTACCATATTTTAACGTCTTTTGGTAGGACGCGGTCGGGGATCGAACCCGCGACCTTTCGCTTCCGCTCTCCGAACCTGCGACCTTCCGCTTCCGCTCTCCGGGCGGACGCTCTAACCACTACACCACGGAGGCGATCCTAAAAGAATGCCGGAAAAAAGACATACGTTGATCAAGGGAACACTCAAGCGCCTTGAGCACGTACTAGTTACGTGACCCGTGAAGACCCGGGATAGACTCTACTATTTACAGACCGCCGCCTAAGCTGGAATATTGCTGAGTGCAGCGTAAAACTAAATTCACTCACTCACTCACTCACTACTTACGTGGAGTGAGTGAATGAGTTAATATTTAACATCACATCGGCAATATTTCAGCCATTTAGTGACGAGATACTTACGTGGATATGTACGTGGATATGTGCGCTGTATAAATAGCCTATCACCAGCTGTGGTGGGGATACTGTAACAAGACTTGTTTCACGCAGTACAGGCAGGGTTTGCAACACTCACCGTCACTATCTATCTCTGTGCGCAGAGCAAGGAAGTCGGCAGGTGTAAGTTTAAGGTCGTCGTTCTTGTCGAAGTGGTGGAAGAGGTACACGGCGAAGTCGCGCCCATCGTGGTACCGCAAGATCCACTTAATCACAAACTCGGCCTCCGAAATCTCGCCGTTGTCTGGAATATGCATCACTTTACCAACCTGTGTAGACTCCGTAGACAACAACTAGTATGTTTGATATACATTTAGGTAAAAACGACAAAACCCTTTCCACATTCATAAGAAATCTCTAAAAACAGAGTCGACTGTACAATTCTGACAATATAAATCTGTTATATCATGAGCGTGTGTGTGTTTGACACCACCGTATTTCAGGTGTGTAACTTTCGCGACAAGGTGAGCGACTCCTGCCCCATCGGTGGCACACGTCATAAACAAAGGCTAGTCAACTGTTCACCTGTCAAAATTGCATCTAAAAGTTTTGTGTCATTTTTCACTCACTCCTGCAAATCATGAATAGTGTTTCTCAGTGAAGAGGACCGTCAACACATTAAGGCCACTAAAAATAATTTCTTGTTTTTCTTTACCGCCCGACCCTACATTTTTGTATATTTTTTGAATTGGTAGATTTGCGTGTATGAAGCCGACAAACTTTCGATGTCTCAGCTTCCGGCATTCCAAGTTTTCGACTAACATTGTAGTGAAAATCAGGGGGGGGGGGGAGGGGAATATTAAAAAGTGAAAATAAATCCGCCATACCTACCCATTTTAAAAAAAAAGTGATGAGAAACAAGAACTTTATTTTATGTGGCCTAATTATGTTTCTAAGTTCACTTTCCTAACTTTACAACATTAGGTCACACACCTTGGCATTGTCACAAGCACTCCCACACATTAAAAAAACATCAACACTATTTTCGTATAATGTTTGTAGTTTCTGGATCAAGTTGTTATTTTTAGAAGACCTCGTTTATCTTATCTCAGAGAACGGTGGAGGCCTTACTTCAGTTATGTCGGTGTGGGTGTTGATGAATGCCACGTGTATGAGGCTACCTGTAAACAGTCCTGGGCCTAGATTTTCGAAGCTCTCTTAGCGCCATACACTAACATTAACTTACGACTATCTTAGCGCTAAGAGAGCTTCGAAAATCTAGGCCCTGGACCAGACACATGACATGTTTGAAGTGCACATTCACCTAGATCTCTCCCACACACGTCCAAACAACTATAACCGCCTCCGTGGTGTAGTGGTTAGAGCGTCCGCCCGGAGACCGGAAGGTCGCGGGTTCGATCCCCGACCGCGTCATACCAAAAGACGTTAAAATATGGTACTTGTTGGTCCCTGCCAGACGCTCGGCATTTATTCGTACAAGAAGGACTGGTCGGCTCGGAGTCAGTATAATGTGTCTGAGTGGGGTATTCATGCTTCACTGCGGCATGGTATCTCAGTGGGCTAGCACTATAAAACCAGCTTAAGTCTGGGCTAGTACAAGCAGCCGCACTTACACATACACACGCATGCACGTCGTCATATGAGCCAAATATTCTCAAGCACGACGTTAAACCCAATTTCACCTCACCTCACCTCACCTCACCTCACCTCACCTCCTCACCAAACAACTACAGTTTGTTTTGATTGATTGATTGTTGTTTGACGCCGCAATATTTCAGTTATTTGGCAGCGGTCTGTAAATAATCGAGTCTGAACCTGACACTCCAGTGATTAACATCATGAACATCGATATACCCAACTGGGATACGATGACATGTGTTAACCAAGTCAGCGAGTCTGACTAGTCGATCCCAATTGCGTAGATCGTATCCCAATTTCGTAGATCGATGATCATGCTGTTGATCACAGGATTGTCTGGTCCTGACTTTATTATTTACAGACCGCCGCCATATAGCTGGAATATTGCTGAGTTCGAGGTAAAACTAAACTCACTCACTCACACACCTTCTCACGTCGTATCAAAGATCTGTGAACTGTGTGATTTTACGCTGTCATTTTCAAAAGCACATCAAAGTAGAACAGAAGCAACAACTAGGAGATTTTACGGTCGCATTCTTCAATCACGTCAGAGAACAACACATCTCTCTATTCAAGCATTTTACATTCGTAAATTTACATCACACAGCTATCTAATCAACATTTTAACAAGCACACCACAGATCTGGGTGCCGTTGTACAAAGCGATCTTAGCGCTAAGGTGACCGTAACTCCCATACTTTAACACTGACTTAAGGTAGCCTTAGCGCCTAGGTTGTTTTGAACAACAGCACCCTGCACAATAATCACATAAGTCTGTGTCACAGTCCCTAAATCACTGCATCTTCTCTACCACTAAACCCTTTCCGTAATGCGGAAGCCCTTGATGAAGCAAGTCTAGATTTCCCTCTTAATCTCCCACCTCACTAGGGCTCCTTTTCAATTCTAATGTCTATGAGAATAATATATTTCAGAGGCTAACCATCAGTATACACTCGCATGGAACGTTTTCGGTCACAAATAAACGTGGGCATGAACGTGGGGCGTCGTTATGGGTGCTGGGAAGAGTGAGTGAATGAGTATGGTTTTATGCCGCTTTTAGCAATATTCCAGCAATATCACGGCGGGGGACACCAGAAATGGGCTTCACACATTGTACCCATGTGGGGAATCGAACCCGGGTCTTTGGCGTGATGAGCGAACACTTTAACTACTAGGCTACCCCACTGCCCGTGCTGGGAAGATGCAACATGTTATGTGCTGGTCTAATGAAGCAATACTCACTGTCACTGTCGTATCTGGTGACAAACTCAGACACGACCTCACCCTGCTCCAGGGTGCCGTCGCCATTTTTGTCCATGTCCATGATGATGTTGCGGACAACCCCGTTGGGGGTGAAGAAGATGCCGGTGTGGACACAGCCACTTTGGCGGAGACTGTGAGCATGGCTGTGAGAGATATACAAATGTTTCAGACAAGAATTAGAGCAAGAATGAGGGAAGACTGAAGATTAAATCTGAGAGTAAAACCCAACCTTCTACACTGAGGGGCGGTGGGGTAGCCTTGTGGTTAAAGCGTTCGCTCGTCACGCCAAAGACCCGGGTTCGATTCCCCTCATGGGTACAATGTGTGAAGCCCATTTCTGGTGTACCCGGCTGTGATATTTCTGGAATATTGCTAAAAGCGGCGTAAACCTAAACTCACTCAATCACTGCACTGAACTCAGGTGTCTCTCAAACATAGAGTTCTACAGATCCGAGTCTCCCCCACATGTTCCTCAAAGATACACTGCTTTCCTTTGCATATGTTTGTGACGGGTGCCATGGTAACGAGAATACACTTACACGTGCCCCCATCACCTGTTTAAAGTGCTCTAAAACACATGCTCATGATATAGTCTGAATCGTTTAATAAATTGTTCTTATAACCCGTTTCTTTTGAGAATGGAAATGGTTTTGTCGCTATTATATATTTACATAGCCTATCACTCAAGCATTTGGACCCGTGAAGATCCGGGTTAGAGTTGATGTTCAGTAACCCATGCTTGTCGTAAGAGGCGACTAACGGGATCGGGTGGTCAGGCTCGCTGACTTGGCTGACACATGTCATCGTATCCCAATTGCGCAGATCGATGCTAATGCTGGTGATTACTGAATTGTCTGGTCCAGACTCGATTATTTACAGACCACCGCCATATAGCTGGAATATAGCTGAGTGCGGCGTAAACTAAACTCACTCACTCACTCACTCACCTGTACGTCGCTGCAGATCCGAGGAGAGAGACCAATAGGAGAGGATCAAACATGGTTCTGGAGGTGATGAAAATATATCGGTTAGATGAGATTGAACACTATAGCACTGAATGTAAATTGAGTCATGCAGTATATATTAATTAAGGTATTATATAGAAAGGTTTTGTGTCATGTATTATATAGAAAGGTTTTGTGTCATGTATTATAAAGAAAGGTTTTGTGTCATGTATTATATAGAAAGGTTTTGTGTCATGCATTATATAGAAAGGTTTTGTGTCATGTATTATATAGAAAGGTTTTGTGTCATGTATTATATAGAAAGGTTTTGTGTCATGTATAATACAGAAAGGTTTTGTGTCATGTATTATATAGAAAGGTTTTGTGTCATGTATTAAATAGAAAGGTTTTGGGTCATGTATTATATAGAAAGGTTTTGGGTCATGTATTATATAGAAAGGTTTTGTGTCATGCATTATATAGAAAGGTTTTCTGTCATGTATAATATAGAAAGGTTTTGTGTCATGTATTATATAGAAAGGTTTTGTGTCATGTATTATATAGAAAGGTTTTGTGTCATGTATTATATAGAAAGGTTTTGTGTCATGTATAATACAGAAAGGTTTTGGGTCATGTATTATATAGAAAGGTTTTGTGTCATGTATTATATAGAAAGGTTTTGTGTCATCCATAATACAGAAAGGTTTTGTGTCATGTATAATACAGGAAGGTTTTGGGTCATGTATTATATAGAAAGGTTTTGTGGCATGTATAATACAGAAAGGTTTTGTGTTATGTATTACACCACACAAAATGACTGTATTACCCAAATTTACTAACGTCAGGAAATACTCGTTTCATCCGGCGGCCATATGAACAACGTTTGAAATCTACGTATCATCTGGCCGTCAGATTTACACACGTTTAAAGGGGTGTTAAAATAAACGAACACTCAACTCTGTATTTACATGTATTTCACAGGTGTGTAAATCTGGCCATTGTTTTTATGTGTTTCCTAACATGTGTAACATATGTAAATGCTGTGATTGTAGGACATGCATTTCAATACCCTTGAAATCTCGTATGACCAAGGTTAGGTTTGTCATATAGGTAGTACATGCGTAAATGGTTGGAAATGGGTAAATATAGTGTTACAATATTAGCACTACTTTAACATGTATTTCAATGGTTCTGTAATGTAACTATCACATAGGGTTCGTTAGCGCGTCCGACCACGCCATAATGTACTGAGATAATTAGAAACACATGGTGAAGTGATACCCATGACTGAGCACCACTAATAACGTGCGTGTCTTTCTTGACATACGCATGATGTCTGTTTAAATGGTTCAAATATCGGGTCTAAGGGCCAGAGCGATATGTATGTTAGGGAGTGTGTGTGTGTGTGTGTGTGTGTGTGTGAGGAGAGAGGGTGTGGCCTGGGGTAGGCCTAGGGTGGGGTGGTGGCGGTGGGTCGGTGTTGGGGTACTGATAAGTCTTCCTAACAAGTAGGTAATATCGTTTATACTTTTTGTAATGGAAATTACATAACAGTTTAACTGACCTTAGGTACACTTCTTATACATGCTATACAAGGAGACAAAGCTAATTACAATAAAACACAGACAGATGTGTTCACACAGACATGAACCGGTAGGTCCCAAATTATAGTGCTCACTTGTATGAGTTATCCGACTGATCATAACTGACCAAATTTCATTATCTATACTTTCATATATCATTACAATGTATTAATGATTCCCGGTGTAAATTACTGTTGTAAATGTGTGAACATGCACATACTTGGTATGACCTCTTTTTGATTCGGAATATTGTATTGTACCATACGGACGTTTTCTCAAATTTCAGTTACCCGACAGAATATACTGTAGACATATTTTGTTTCCATATCTTGGGTAGACTATAGAAACTTGTAGTGGTTGCAATTAGCTCATAATTTTCACAATAGGCCTATTTTGTTTCCATCTCTTGGGTAGACTATAGAACATTGTAATGATTGCAATTAGCTCATAACTAAGCAGTTTCGATGATTATTGAAAGCTTACTCCCTGACAACATTATGTTGCTCATGCGTTTTCTTTTTTGCTTTTGCTTTTTGCTGTTTAATTTGTTATACATTATAAAATTATGTTAATCATTTTGGTATTTCAATATCATGGAATATAATGTGTAGTTATTAATCTATCAAAGTTACGAAACGTATTATCTGTATGCTTTACTGTTATTGGGTGAAACTGTTAAAAGTACCTTCGTACAGATATTCCAGGAAATAGAAACTGAAAATTACGAGATCAATGGAAAGCTAAATTGGATAAAGATCGCAAACAATCATTATTTATATTACACTTTTTAAATTATCAGTGTGCAGATCATGTCACTAACATAAAAACTGAAGGATATATGGTGACAAGACTGGGTTCAATCTTGAATGTATAATAAATGTACCAACAGTATCAAGGAATGATGGGGTACGCTCGTGGTTAAAGCGTTCGCCTGTCAGGTCAAAAACCGGTGGTTGATTCCCAACAGAGGCACATTAAGACTGAAAATAAATTATTTTGATAAAAGGCTAAGATCTTAATTTCAATTGAAAAAAAAGAGACGAAGTAATTTGGAAGATTCACAGACTAACAACGTCTATACTGGGGCTACAGGTGCAGGAAGCATCTTCAATTATAAAATCACATTCCACTAACATCAGATTAAGATTTAAATGACAAGCATATTTATTGGTATCTTGTCAAGCTCTGTCCTCTCTCAATGCAGTATAACCAGAGTGCTGTGGTCACTACCTCAGGTGGCCAAATTCAGCCATCCCACTACTTTACAGTATTTTCTTACAGACATATATATGGAAAATAAACTTTTACGGGTATGGAAAAAGTGGGGGGAAACACGTGCAAAGTATTAGTCAGCTGAGATTATCCTTCAAAAACATCATATGTACAACAATCACTTATCATTATATGCAACCAAAGCATTACAAAAAGGCCATATTTCCAGACAGCATAACACCACCTTTGGCTGGAGTTCCAAATAATTTGACACCGAAAGCCTGTCAGTTAAAGCAAAGGAAATAAACCTTGTGTTATAAAATGATGCCTTAATCATAGTCACAATGAAGTGTAGGTTGCCATGCATTTTCTAGTCTGTCTCACAGTCCCTGAACCACATTATTTTCCTTACTGTTTAGTCTGTCTCACAGTCCCTGAACCACATTATTTCCCCTACTGCCAAGCCCTCTCTGCAATGCTAAAGCCTTAAATGAAGCAAGTCAAGATCTCCTCAGGTCCAGGGTATGTTAAAATCTGCAAGAACCCTTACTCACTTTGGGGGTCGGGTTACAAAGTAAACATATCTATAGCTAACTGTCATGGCTAGCCGGACTGAATATCTGGTCTCCCTGGGGCTCCTTTTCAATTTAAATTGGTTTGTTTGTTTATATCAAAATTATATATATTCAGACACTAAGCGTTAGTCTATGTATTGTCCAATATGATGGAAATACTAATATTTACAAAATATAATCTAAAGGAGCCTTTCTTCAGCAGTGACTTAACGCCATACATAGCTAGACTTGCTTAGATGATAGACATCATATAAGGCATCATAGATATTTCACAAACATGGTACAGGACCCTTAGCCTCATTAGCGTATTGCCTCACCACTTGCGAATTAAGCGTTGGCAGATGTAAATGTTACTGGAGATGTTGGTCCCGCCAGCTGTGGGTGTTTGGTATGGCACTCCATAACCCGAACCCTGCAGTAAGTTTTCCTAGAGACGGAAGGGGAGAAAATATCGTTCTCTGACTATGGAAAACCAAAAATGTGGACAACAAACCATTGTTTGGGTCTTTTAATTGTAAATATGATTCAAATAGCTTAACCTAGATTTCGATATCCTCCGAATGTACTTTTGGTGGAAACTATACATTTATCCCGAGAGAAGGACGAATGTTTATATATAATTTAAAAAATGTAACAGCACTAGTATCCATTTTGTCTTTTGTCTTCTACCCATCAGAACTAGATTAACAACTAGTCCCTGATATGAGCATATTTTACAGAAAAAAAGTTCATAGTAAAAACAATATATATTATAATGAAAAGGAGCCCTGAGACTTTCTCCTGAAGCTGTGGAAATTTAGACTTGCCACATTTTCTAGACTTGCGTGGGCTTCGATATATTTGCTTCAGTGGTTAGAGGCCCGTATTGCAGTTCTCGTGCGTTTGCCAGGCGCGTAGCAAGCCATTTTTTTCGTGTAAGCCCTATGGGCTGCAAAGCCTGACATTTAGGTGGCATTGGGGGCTTGCCCAACTTTCATTTTTTTATGAGACCTGAAGTGTTATCGTTTGATGTTTGACGATTTCAATAGCTTCAAAATATCATGGAAAGACTTCCGCCTGTACCCCCTTAAATTTCATTCTAGTCAAATCATATCACCTGAATATATATTCCTCATCTGATAAGGATGAGTTTTAACGTGTTTTGTTTATTGTATCTGAACATACTGAAAGGCATATTCTACTTCTAAAAATGCCACTCAAAGAAAGTTTTCCTCATCGTTAAAATTAAGGGGGGTGGGGTGTGTGTGGGGGGTATGTGTGTGTGGTTGTGTGTTACGGACGGAAGTCTTACCACCATGGAAATTGTAATGTGATTTCCTCATATACAAATATGTTTGGACATAGTTTACACATGACTGCTGCATTGATACAATACCATACATCGAGTATTTGGTGTTTTTTCTAAAATAAATGATAAACAAATGAAAAATAAACAACTGCATTTCAGTGATGATTCACTTATAATCATGACTGTAACAAAACATCCACATACATGTCGATGGAAAACAATCATCACTGAAAGTTATGGTATGAAGAATAACCTGTTTACTGTTCATGGTAATGCTTTATTCAAAGAATATTGTAGTCAGTATGATTCATAGAGGGATTTCCACTTTTAAATGGAACGAGTTTGTAGGTATTTTTGGCAAAAATTAGAAGGAAAATTATTTTTTAGCAAATATCATGTGTA